CGGGGGCTCCTGAGCGCCCGACATCGCGGGTGCCGGGACGGCTGCGGTGCTGCTGCCGCCCGAAAGCTGCAGAGGGGACGGCCTGACCCGTGTCCCTGTCTGCCGTGCAGCTCGACTGGAGTCAGCAAGAACCAGCCATTTAAATAACCAGGAAATACGTGTCGTTTTGAGGCAATTTCAGCATTTTAGGGGCTTGTAATAAGAGCAATCCTTTGGTCACTGGAAGGTGGGAAAATGAACCAGCTTTGAGTACAAGGGAGTTTGAGGTTATGCACGCAGCGAAATATTATTTTGTTGTTGTTGTTAGAAAGCATTGTCAGATGTAAAATAGCAATCAGTGAGTTTGAATTGAACTCCAGATTTATGGACTGCCTCTGTATGTCTTGAACAGCACTGGGAAATACACTGCTTGTGCTTGTTAAATTTACAGGAACAGGAAGAATTAAGATGGCTATAGCTTTGCAGGCCAAATCTGATTCTGTATTTTGGGTTACTTTCCTGTAAACCTTCTAATATTAGTAATTAAATATTCTCTCGGCTGCCCTGGAAAAGCAGGAACGTCCCAGTGTGGAGCTGGCAGCAGTGCCACGGTTCTTCTCATTCCCTGCACCGGTTTTCAGGAGTGACTGCACTGCGGGATGCTGAGATAAAAGGCAGATGGCTCGGGAAGGGGATACGAGGAAAAATCTTTTAAATAGACCTTTTTTTTTTTTCTTCAAAGCAAGCTGTAAAAGCAGAAAGAAGGAGGAGCAGCTGGCAGTGAAGTGCACTGCGTGTGCCCGTGCTGACCTGCCTGCAGGCAGCAGAGCCTTGGCTCGCTGCTTCTGAACCAAGGCGGCTTTCACCATGGTGAAGTCTTGATTTAAGGACCTGAACACAGCAAATCTTCATTTCAGGAAGCCTGGACTTCCTTCAGCTCTCCTGTCTCCACCTGGGCTAAAGTGACCTGTATGTAGTCGTCAGCTTAAGAACCACCAATGTTGCTGGTTCTCCGTGGTTTCAGGGCATCTTGGAAGGGGAGGAACAGGCCTGGATTGCAGCAGCATTGCCGGAAAGCCGGTCCCTTGCAGGACTTGTGCCAGGGAAATGCTCGACTCGAGTGTCTGCAGAGACTCCCCGAAGCACTGGACTCAAGGCATTAATATTTGAAGTGCCAGCTGAGCACGGCAAAGGGTCTGGCTAAAACTGGAGGCGGTTTGTGAGAAAGAATTACTGTGTCTAGCAGAAATGTTAAATGCTGCTGAATTTGGAAACACAGAGCTCACTCTCATCAAAAAGATGCAGATTGAAGAGCTGGAAACCAGTAGGTGGAAGTGGGGGATCCTCCTCTCTCTACTCAGCCCTGGGGAGGCTTTTTGCCCTCTGGACTAGTTTGAGTCCCAGGGAACACGTGGGATTCCTGGCATTTTGTAGTGCTGATGCTGTTAGAGCTTGGAGAAGGACAGCATGGTGGGACCTGGGCAGGGAGGTTGTTTTGGTTATCATCATCATCATTTTTTTCAGTCCATTCCTCTGAATTTGCTTTGCAGAGTTTTCTCAGTATTTTAGCCTTCGGTGTGTGAAACATCGGTTTGTGGTGTTTTTTGCCCTTTCTCCCAGCTGTTTCTTTACGTGGCCCTGTGCGTGCAGGCTGGGGGCTCTCGCTGGGGGCTTGTACGAGCACCCTCATTTTCGCAAGGGGCTTTGCTAATGCTGTGACTGATTTGGCAGCTGGAAAGCAGGGCAGGGAGAAACTCCAGCTGGAAGTTGTCATTTCCAGCGCTGTGAAGCGGCTCTGGGGGCAGGTAGGTGGCTTTGCTGCCAGTCGTGTGCGGCAGCGCCCTTCCAAGGCGGTTCCGAAGAGCCTCGCTTGCTGCATCCTCTCTTCCTGCTGCTGTGACAGACGCTTCACTGCAGCCCCTGTTTTCGGGTGCTGGGCGTCCCTGCCTCCGGATCCGCGGCTGCTCCCTGGAAATGCTGCCGCGATTCCACGGCTGTTCCCTGGAAATGTGGCCGGTGCTGCTCAGCTCCCGTTTGGTTGCCTTGGAAACTGTGCGCCCTATGCTGTACATACCTATCTATATATCCCTGCGTGTGTGTGCGTATACGTGCACGTGCCCTTCCCCCCGACCTGAAGCCTTGGCAGTGCTCTGCGATCTGGGGTAGCTGATTATGGACCCCCTGCTCCCTTTGAAGTCAGTGGAGGGAGTTTTAATGCAGGTCCTTATGTTCTGTAACTGATTTTGAACCCAAACATGGGACTTGATATCGTGGAGACAGAGACCTTGAAGTTCTTTGTATTCTCCCATGGTCCGCATCGGCCTTTGGATGCTGGAATTAGGGGGAACAGGATCCATCTCTCTCTGCGGTGGGTTTTAGCACAGCAGCCGAGGTGAGGGCAGCTTGGCCTGGTGGCTCTACAGAAACCCCCCTTTCTACACCCATGTCATGGGCGTAAATAAAGTGAGAGTCTTTAGGAACAGGAGCTGGTCGTTCCCTTTCGAATCAGCTCTTCCAGCTTGTGGGATCGCCTGCCTAAGCAAGTGCTCCAGCGCCAGCAGCCTCGCGGGCGTCACGGCCGGGCCCTCGGCCCATCTGCTCTGAGCCTCCCTGCCTTGGAAGGGGCGCCTCTTCCCCGTGCTTCTGAAAGGCTGAGCCTTCCCGCGCCATGCTTTGGGGGATTGTATTAGTTGTAGAATGAAGAACATCTTAGGAACGGATCACGGGTCCCTAAGAGGTAAGGGACTCTGACCTTCCAGGCCCCACTTGTTTGATGGTGTAATTACGTATAATGTGTGTACATGTATAATGAGGGCGTAATGTATGTATATATGTGTGTGTATATAAATATATACGCGCAGGAGGTAGTGGGAGGGCCTAGAAGGCCTTTCCCTCCATGCCAGAGCAAGCTGTCATCCGGGCAATCGCTTTGCAGGGCCATGGCCTGCGTCCCCCCGCTGCACGCTGCAGCAGGGTCTTGGCATATATAACCCATATAGGTAGCTGCCTAACGCTCTCTGTAAGCCGTATAGTTAGCTCGGCTGACTAACGCTCTGTCCCCTCTGCAGGAGGAGGCGCCCGCGGCGGCGCCGGCCCGGAGGGCCTCGCTCAGCGGCCTGTGCTACCTGAGCATGGGCCTTCTCGTGCTGCTCCTCGGGCTGGTCTTCGCGTCCATGTACGTGTACAGATACTTCGTCGTCGCCCAGGTAGGGAGCGTCCTCGAGCTGGAGAGGCCAAACTCCGCCAGCTTTTACAAGAGCTTTCACAAGCTCCTTACGGCTTTGCATGTGGTGGTTTGGGACGTGTGGGCCCTGCGACACACTGAGAAACGGGGCTTGTCTGAAGCGGTAGCTCAGGCTCACCCAGCTCCGCTGCCGGGAAGAGCCTTGCAGAAATTCTCCTCTTCCCAGCTTGTTGCTTCTGACTCCATAAAATCATCCTGCTGGTTCTGCCTTGTAAACACAACCCTACTGCTGTTAGCTGCAATCCAGCTTCGGAGAGTGGCTTCTTTTGGGGACAGAGGAAACCTTGGAGAGAACTGGGAGATACAGGCCAGACAGAGCATCTTTTTGCATTTTTCTTTGTTTTTGAGCTCAGCACAGCAATACCATAAGCATAACCAAAATAGCTGTCACTATTAATAAAACATGTGAAGAATAGGTTTAGAAAACTAGGTCAGAGACTGCAGAACTTGGGTCCTCATCCTCAGTTAAATTCAGCACCTCTTCTTCTGGGCTGTTGTTGCACAACCCCTCCAAGGCTATGCACGGGCAGCGTTGTGAATTTAAGCAGCATGGTCAAAACATGAAGAGTGAGACAGAGCAGAGCTGCTTTGGTAGGAAGCTGCTGAGCTTTGAGGTTTGCTGAGTGATCACCCAACAGCGTAGTCTGGTTCTGTGTGGACGAAGGGGCTTCGGCGACCAGGGCTCTGGGCCTTTGCATTCCAGGTCTGCACAGGCCATGACATGAGCACCTCCAGCGTTGGAGTGAGGCGAAATAGCTGTTGGTTTTGGTGCCTTTGCAACACACATGGTACAGATGTGCTTAGAAATGGTGCTTTACTCACCATGAGTTCATATGTCCTACGTAGAAAAATGCAATTGCTGGAAATTACCTGTGGAGGGATGTGGATAACCCTGATGTAAAATTTAAGACTGGTAGTTTGTCTTTCTGAATTCTCTCTTGTGGAATCCCACAGGGGCTTTAGTCCATTTGGATCTGGATAGTGGGAGGGAGACGGTGCTGCTTGGCTGGGATGCAGGACCTGGACAAGGTTTTTTTTGCCCTACGTTCATGACAAACATTTTCTGTTAGACTGATATGGGAGCCTTCCCGGGCGCCTGTGCTGGGAATGGGTCTCCCCGTGTTGCTCTCCGCGTTTTCTGTGGCTGCCGGCGGGAAGCGGGACCCATCCGTGCGGTGCCTGCCCTTGGCTCTGCTCCCCACAGCTGCCCCGCGAGAGCGTGTTCCACTGCGGCGTCCTCTACGAGGACCCCCTGTCCTCGCCCCTCAGGGGGCAGCTGGAGCTGCGCGAGGACGTCAGGATTTACCTCGAGGAGAACTACGAGCACATCAACGTGCCCGTGCCCCAGTTCGGAGGGAGCGACCCTGCGGACATCATCCACGACTTCCAGCGGGTAGGGATGGCTCTGGTCGCCACCGGGGGTGCGGAGCCGGGGTGAGGAGGAGGAGGAGGAGGAGGAGGAGGAGGAGGAGGGCAGGAGGTGGGCTGTGGTGGGTCGCGGAACACGGTTCTCGAGGGGCCGCGTTGTTGCGTGCTCTCCATGCCGAGGCCTGTCTGAGGTTGCCCACCCTGCTTGCCCTGCCTGGTGTGCCGGGTAGCCAGTCCTTTGGGCCACCCTTGGAGGGCTGGGGGATGGAGGCGAGGGCAGCAGAAAGACAACGTTGTTGGCAGGAAGAGTAGCGCTGTTGGAGACCTCTGAGGGGGGGTTAGAGTCTGCTCTCCTGGGATGCCCCCGCTCCGTGAGGAAGCCTCTTCCCTGCTCCTCGCACGCGCGTGCGCAGAAACGTTTCATGGGTAAGTGCTTAACCCCTCGCTGTCCCCGCGCGGCCGCAGGGCCTGACCGCGTACCACGACCTCGCGCTGGACAAGTGCTACGTCATCGAGCTCAACACCACCGTGGTGATGCCCCCGCGCAACCTCTGGGAGCTGCTGGTTAACGTGAAGGTACGGCCGCCGTCGCGCCGCTCTGCCTGCCGCCCCGGCTCCGGGCAAGGAAAAGCTGTGGGTCTGCAAAGCCTCGGCCCTGCAGAGCTGGGGTCATGCTCTGTGGTGGCCTCGGGGTTTTTAGCTGAAACAGGAGTTGTGCAGGCAGTGCATGGGCACTGGTGCACAGGCAAGCCCTAGGTTGCACTCGCTGCAAACGCAGCGTGGCGAACGTGGTGGGATTAAGCCAAGAGGCAGAACGTTGCATCTCCAGGCGGGCTTGGGTATTCCCAGTCCTCGGGATTTGAGGCCAGTCCTCATCACACTCCTGCTGGTTTGCCAGCCTCCTCTGTGACCGTCCTCCGTGCCAGTGTCCTCAGTGCCCCGCCAGCCACAGCGGCTGGGGGTGGCCCGGGCCTGGGCTGAAGGGAATGGGAGAGCCGGCATCACAGAGGCTGACAGCAGAGCCTCCAGGAGAAGAGCAGAATTGGGAACGCTGCTTGCACCCAGAGTAATAAACTGTGTTTTGATGGAGACGGTGTCGTTTCAGAAAGGGACGTACCGCGCCCGCCTGCGCGCGGCGCGGGCCCTGCGTGCTGCTCGCGGCCTGCTGGCCTCTCTGCGCCCAGAAAGGGGATTTCCCTGGGAGTCTGAACCTATGGGAGACCCTTTGGGATGTTTCAGCTGTGCCCACATCTGTGATGATGCTACTGCAAGCGAGCGCTGGCTGTTTTAAGTATTTGTATTGCTGTGTCTATCAGCCTAGTAGAAACATTGATAGAAGTGTTTGCAGGAGGCAGCAGTTCATTTCCACGCGGGCTTCTGCGGCTGAACTAATGGCAGTGCTGTTGGGAACAGCTTGGAAAATTTCCCTGATGGAGATGCCTGCCTCAGTGGTGGCTATTCAGAGTAGATTAGACTGCATCTTGCCTTTAATTAATTAGGTTGCTAGCAATATTGAAAAAGCAGTGAAGAGGAAGCTTTAGACTACCTGGTAGCAGTTTCCTGAAAATCAGTAATATCAACCTTGAATACTGATGCCAGGGTGCTTGCAAAAACTCTGTATTTCAGTATTCGAGTGTATTTGATTTTAGATACCGAGGTGTTTAAAGCCTCCTTGGAGATGTTAACCTGTATCCCTGGGAAAGCTGCAGGGTGCTGAGAGTCTGCATATCCCAAAGTCACTCCGGCTGTGGTTCCTGGTTGCTTTTCCAGGGCCAGCCGTGGCTTTCCGGGCCTTGCCTCCCTCTGTGCCCCCTCCGTGCCTGGCTCCATGGGAGGCACGCGGCCGCCCGCGCCTGCCCCGACCCGCGCGCGCTGCCCCGGGGCCGCCAGGATGCTGTAGCTCTGGGGTGCTCATAGGTGGGGATGGGAAGGGTTAATGCATATGGATACTTGATTTCTTATTTTCCCACTCTTCTTTTTTTCTCTTCTAGGTATAAGTCGGCGTGAGGCAGGAAGCTGTCATCGCATTCGTCACTTTGAAAACACTTTTGTGGTTGAAACTGTTATCTGCAAGAAGTCATGAAGGCCCTGTCCAGCTGTGCTTTTCCTTGGCTTTGCTTGCACACACACATACACGCTCTCAGCCCTCTCCTTAGACACGATAACCCCTCTTGCTTTTTTATTTTACACTCTGTCCTGCTTGTGCAGCTCTAGCTTCTTGCAGCAGATTCTCTTCGCTCTGTGCTCCCTGCTTGAGACATTTTGCTGGGCTTAAATTTGTGCAGTGGTCAGAGAGGACCTGTGGGTAGCAGCAACCTGCTTGAGGCCAAGGGCCAGGAGCGCTGGAAGGGGCTGCTCTCCCTGGCCGGGGAGGACGGCTCCGTTCGCACAGATCCATCTTCCCGGGCTGTCGAGATGCCGCCTGCGGGCAGCCGGGCACCAGCGGCGTCAGCAGCAGCCAGCGGCGTGTGCAGAGCACATTTCCTTTTGTTTTTAGAGAGAGAGAAGTGTATTCCTGTATAACCCCTCTGATGAATGCAGGTTAATCTTTAAATATGTTTTGATAGCAGTTACTGTAGCCATTTGCAGTATCTGCAAGCACTGTTGTAGCACAGATATGTGTACAAGGGCAAAATTCAGCAGACTGATACGCTGCAGAGAAACTGGTGAGCAAAACTGCATTTCTGTTGATCATCAGAGGGAGGAATTGTAAAGTAATTATATATTCTTCCCTCTGTTCCAGAAATACGGTTAAAATTAATTAGGCTCTTGAAATGCAGGCAGTTTTTTGGCTTGAAAGAGCAGGGTGAGTTGCAAATTGGCACGTTCCTGTTAATTGGTTTCCAGCAAATCTGGACTCGGTCACCATCTGTTGAAATGAGTTTATTGTTTCAGAAAGAGGAAGGAAAAGGAAATGCAAGTACAATCATTAACTCAGCAGAACCAAAAAAGTGAATATATTTTAGAATATTTTTTTAAGTAAAAATGATGTGAGCTAAATATATGTAAAGCAAAACAGGCTCTCAAAATGGTCATCTCATATAACAGGGTTATGTCCTTAGAGGCTGAGGATTGGTTTTTGTATAATGGATAGTTGACCAGAAGCATTAAGTGCAAGCAGATACAGGAGGAGGCTTTGGTCTTGTGCTGCCTTATGCTTAATGCGAAATGAAGAATCCCAGGCGCTTCGAGCAGGCTGGTGAGGAAAGGAGGGTTTTCCACTGCCAGAGGGGCATTTGCAAAAAGGCAACGTGCAAACGCTCTGTGTCTGCTGCCCGGTGGGTCTCTTACCTCTCGGGAAACCTCGGTGGGATAAATAAAACCTTTCACCTCTGGTGCACGAGTGTGTGCTCATTGCGGTGGGAGGCGACGCGTGCGGGGGCTGCCGCGCGCCCCGCGGTGGCTGCGTTTGCCAGAGCTGGGTCTGGAGCTAAGCGCTCGTGCAGACATCAAGGTGGGACTGCTGTGACTGGCAAAGGGGGCTTCTGGAGCCGGGTCTGGAAAACACACTGTGCCTCTGTGCCTATTCCTTATGGCTTTCCCAAAAGAGAGGCCTGTGAGTAGAAAATTGTGGTGTAGATTGTGCACTGCTGTGAGATTTACTATAAAAAATCAAACATGTTCTCCTAAGAAATCAATATGGAATGCTGAGGAGGTGATTTCATTATGTATCTCCTAAGACCATATATCACAGTGTTAGTCAAAACAAGGCAAAGTGGATTTGGCCTGTTGGCTACAAACGCCTGGATAACTGTCCCTACTGATTTCTTATTCCTACTTTAGCATTGCCTGATTGCTCCAGCATCTGCGATAGACACCAGGTGAACCCTGCTGCTTGGCTGCACGTGTTTTTAGTAAGATACCTGGTGTTGTACAAAACAGGACCGACTCTGGGACAGGCAGGCGCTGCCTTTGCTTTTGCCGGCAGCTGCGTGGATGGGACATGCGCGTTTCCCTCTGCGTGAGAGGCAGCGCTGCCCCGTCCCACGCGTTTCCCTGCAGGTAAGTGCTCAAATTTTAGCAGAACTGGGGAGGTGAAGGATCAGGAATTAGCTGCCGCCTTGGTTTGGCTGAGAGTGTTTCCTTGGGGAATAGCACCAGAGTGGATGAGGGATTTCTTGGTGCTGGCTCTAATTAAGCATCCGTGCTACACAAAGATGTTCTCTCGTGGAAGCCGGGAAGTTGCACCATTCATTTGGTTAATTAATCTGAAAAGGCCAAGTATGTAATTTCATTCTTGAACTTTCAGAGCTGTGTTTGAATGGAATTGAAATCATTGAAGTCATACCACGGGATGCTTGAAACATGGTCTGGCCGGGGAAAAGTTTTGGGAAAGGAAACAACTGATGGGAGCATGTTCAAGGAAACCTCTCAAAATTCATCTGCTTTTAAGTAAATTTCTCCAGGCTATTGCTCGTTTCCCCATCTGCTGTTCATGAAGCAAATGGTTCTCACCCTGCTGTTTGCTGGTTTTCCTCTCCTCTCCTGCAGGGCAGCGACAGCCGACAACGTCAGGGCTGGATCCCACCGATTTCCACCGGTTTCCCAGGGTGGTACCAGTGTTGTCGCTGCTGCTGCAAAATCCAGCCAGCCCAGGCTGTCCTCCCTTCCTAACCAGCTGTTGTTCATTAAAACAAGCATTGTAATCAGGAGATTTTTAAAATTGAAGCTCCTGCGAGGAGAGCGAGCCCTGTGGAAGCACAGCCAGGAGTGATGCAACCGGGAACATCCAAACCCTGTTTGAATGTTTGCAATAGGCATTTTGGACCATCTCACTCGGAGCTTTGTAATGTGCTTCCCCGTGCTGTTCCCCCTCCTCCCTTCCCTCTTGCAGGATTTTTAGTCTTTGGGCAGGGGAGGTACAAGGAAACACGAGGCAAAATCCAACCTGGGTGCTTTCCTAATAGCAGGTACCGAGTAACAAATCTGCTGTGGTTGAAACATTAAGGTGGGGAGAGGGAGGAGTGTCAGTTGTGTAATGAGGTTTGCAAAGGAAACGCACTTTGCTTTTGTTCAGTGCTTTAGGTGAAGTTGTTTAATGGCACTAGAAGGTAAATATTTAGTATTGATCTCCTTGGCAATTTGGCTGCATTCAGCATTAGGTGTAGCCGTACCTGAAATGCTGCCTCTCTGCAGGAGCAGTGCTCCGTGCTGGCCCGCAGGGACTTCAGGACTCTTCACACTTCCCGTTTATTTTTTACCCCACATGTTTTAAGTGCACAGATATTTCATTGTTATGATTACTGGAAAAGTAGTTCCACCTGTGTGGGATCCCTGTGAGGCAGATGGTACTTCATGCAGGATGGGCTCAGGGCACCAGGCTGGCTGCTGTCTTATCTGACCAGGGAAAAACATGGAAAAAATTGTGGTGCCACGGAGAATAATGCATGCTAAATCCATCATTAATGCTAAGAACCAGCACTGCATGTACCTGTTATTGAGGTTCTCCCTCCGCAGTGGTTTAAGGGCTGGAGTTTCCCCACCTCTCTCTCGCTGGATTTGCTGGTTCTGCGTTTGCTGTTTGCAGTTCCTGCTCTGGCTCCAGGTTTGCTCTTTTTCCTGCCTGGTTCCCCCATCCAGCCTTGCTGGGCAGTGGCTTTAGCTGCCCCACGG